GGGGGAGATTTACTAATAGTAAAGATCTTCCAAAGTAAGAAAACAAACTTATAGACACCTTCAACCAATAAAACCGAGCAGCAGAGCTCAAGTATGACCTATTGAGATAAAACTTATGAAAAAGCATGAGTCAAATATTAGAGATAGGACTCAGGATTGAGTATGGGAAAAACAATATCTAAGGCTTCGTTTGGGACGGCTTTCTTACTACTTCTTAAAACAATTTTTACTATAAAATTAAAATTTTTACAGTAAAAAAAACAGTCCCAAAGAAGCATAAGTCAACATAAGAATATGAAGTAGTAGAGATATTCCCCAGGTTGCCAAAAAGCAGATAATGGTTGCCGCGAAGATCATCCAAGAGGCAGCAAAATAGATGTATACCATGCCTCACCGTCCTCTCATGCCAACAGGGAATGTTAGTTAAACCAAAAGACAAGAAAAGTCCAAGTCCCGTTGACATCAGATTAACCAAAACTTTGAAAGATGAGCAGTGCAGCCTAAATCCAAACGAAACCAGGACAAGTCAAAAATGCTTGCCAACCACCGGCAAAACAGCCACCAAAGCCCATCATAAGAGCCCAACTAACATAAATGAAAATTGAGAAGAGAGAAGCAACAAAAATAGTCACAGTCAGGCAATAAGAGAGCTCACAAGTTCCACATGTTTCCACCCAGCAAGCTGATGTCGAATAACTTTTTTAATTTTAAAGCAAACAGTAGTGATGCTGTCAAAATTTGTACCAAACCTCCTTGCATTTCTCTCTCTCTCTAGATGTGATATAGAGACGAGAAATGACTAAATAATAAAACTATTTTTGGACTGTGAAGATGCTCTATGCCAGAAATGTACTCAAATACTTTTAGTAAATTTGATCTCATGAGAAAGGGGCAAATTATTCTCTGCGGAGTCCGGATGTCATCCAAAGGTAAATAAATATGTGTCATGTCACTTCAAAAGTGTACCGCGCTCAGTATCAAACACGGTACCAAGCAGTACCGAGCTTCGATACACCCGGTACCGCTCTCTGTACCAAGCGGTACTGGACGGTTCTCCCGTCCGGTGTCCGCACAGAATAATCTCTCTGAAGCTCATCCCAGGAATCAGATTAGATAAAGTTTTAAAGTAGTCACATGTAATTACAAAAATTGCGAAGAGGTAGAACTTGAATATTTCTCTGAAAGAGATTATTAACAATTTTTAGTTCTCCAGCCAAAGCCAACCAGGTATAAGATGAATAGCTAAGTGCATAATGTCTATGCTACCAAAATTTATAGCAAGAAACTTGCTGCCAATCTAGGAAAAAATTACACAAAAATTCTTTAGACTTGGGTTGCTCAGAATCAAGCCAAATCAGAGGAACGACCGAAGATTCCTTAATAGAAATAGCTTTGATAGCTTGTTGAACATGGGTAGGGAATTGGGAAAGAAGGTTTCAAGCATTAGAAATGCTGATATTATTAATATTAGCATATGATACTACAACGAACACACCAAACAAGCAGAATAAAAGTTAGGACCAACTAAATCCTTTTTTTTTTCACATAGAAACACATAATTTTGAGCATATACGTGAAAAGGTTGGAGTAGCTCCAGTAGAAGATAAGATTAGAGAAAGTCGCCTTAGATGGTTTGGTCACATAAAACGGCGGCCTTGCGATGACCCGGTTAGGAGAGTAGAGGTATTAGATTTGACTTATGTTAAGAAAGGTAGGGGTAGACCTAAAAAGACTTGGTTAGAAAATATTAGGAATGACCTTTCTTTTTTAGATTTAAACGAGAATTTGACTTTTAATAAGATACAATGGAGAAAAAGGATTCATGTAGCTGACCCCATGTAGTGGGATAAAGGCTTTTTTTTGTTGTTGTTGTTGTTGTATAAATACCCACTTATTTGCTCTTCCAGTATTCGTACAGTTTTGAAAGCCTTTAACTGTTCACAAAACTAAAACAACTTTAAGAAATATTAAATCTCAATTTAAATATCTCAACAAGTATTGAATTTCTTTCATACCTCAAAACATATTTTCTTTCTTATTGAAAACTTCCTTCTTTCTCCCTCAGATCTCCTCTCCTCGCTTCCAAATGTCTTCCTTATCATCAAATTAAATGTTTACACTAATTAGAGAAAAATATTATGAACAGTTTATAAAAGATTTGGGAAAACAAACTTTTTCCTATTTCCTCCCAATTTGTTCTTCTCTTCCACCGTCGTTTCTCCCAAACCTTTGATTCTATAACAATAGGAACGAAAAGGAGTTGTTTAATCTTACCCTACAACACGCTCATTTGCTAAAATTGGCGAAGAAAATCCTCCAAGGCCTGTGCGTGAGTGTCGGTCGTCCGATCCCTCCCGTTTCTCCTCTCTGTTCGACCCGCTCTGGGTTGCGGCTCTTAATAAGAGACGGGTCCAACCGGTTCATCACCAACTACCTAGCAAAGTCAAGATGAGAAAAGAGATCAACTTGAGATTGTGGTGATTAGAGATGAAATAGTCAAAGATTTGGTTGCCAAGAGGTTGCAAGTGTAGTAAGAGAAGCACATCTGATTCGTCAAAGAGAGAGATGTGTGAATTAGAGACTGTCGACAATGAAATCTGTCAGAAAAGGGATATAGGTCTCAATAGAGTTTTGGTAGTAAGTATTGTCAGAGTCATCGAAGAGTATTGATTAAGAACATCTATATAGTAAGAACTGAAGTCAGCAGTGCTGTTGGCATTGGATACCAAAGCAGTAATTAATTGTTGATATGATTTTATTGTTGAAATTGGTTGCAATAGAAAAGCTTAATTGTTGGTGTGGTGGGCACAATTAAAGTCATTGTCACATTTTTTAGGGGAATTAGATGTGGGCTGCTTTTTATGGGCCTTGATGACATATGAGATGCCAATTTGTAAGAGAAATGTGAGTGCCACCATATGGGAATCACAACTTCACAAGAGAGGTCGCATAGAAGAGAGGATGCCGCATATTAGTGGGATCCTTGATGACTAGGAGTAGAGAGATCCAATAATGGAGTTCCTGTTATTCCTAGGCAAAAGTGTCTCTATTGGAGGTCCAACTGTTGATGTTTAAGATAACGGGATTGATTGCATGTGGTGGTGGCAGTGTGATTAGGGTGCAACGAGGAAGCATATGAGGTTTACAATTGAGTAGGAGAACATCAACAAGTCAACTTTAGTATGGCGATTAGAAAGTCAATCAGAGGCAACAAAGGGGCATGTAGTAATCGATAGTTTTTGATACCATATTAGATGTGAGAAATAATTGTAAAGAATTATATTTTTACTGAATTGTCTTTCTAGTACAAGCATATATATGCCTATATAAAGCACAAAAGAAGAGAACAGTTAAGAAAAATATAATAAAGGTGAATATTATATGATTTCAATATGAAAATATTATAAGTAATAATTTAGATATAGGTAATTTAGCACGTGATAATTTAGATATAATAATATTTTACGCACTAAAGTTTAATGTATTAGTTAAGTCTCATGTATTCAATTAATAGTGGTTTTTTAAGAATAGGATTTGACATTTTATTTTATGTGATAACTAGCATAAAAATTTGGTGCCCAAATAAATGAATTAGGATTTATCTTTTTTTTTTTGAAGTGTTTGAGAGGCAAGCCTTTTTGTTAGAGAGAACGATTGAACTTTTATTTCTTAATAAATTTGTTTGAGTATAAAGGAAACTTCTAACCACTTGAACAGATAAACCTAAGTAACCTTGGTGAGATTTTCAATAAAAAATAAAATAACCAAAATCCAAATAAGTTGATACAGGACATGTCGCTGGATATTTTAGTTAACTAAAAAGGAGCACTACTAGGAGAGATCCATATGAAGATTACCCAATGGTGTTTATAATAATTACAAGTTTTATATTCAAATCTGAATATAGGCGAGGGAATATGAGTAAAACACCAAAGACGGTGTGGGGGAGGATGATCTAGACAACAATGTGACTGATATGGTGAATAACAGGGGAGGACAATGAAGTAAAAGTTGTATTATCGAGCTAGTAAATGCATCAAATTTTAGCAATTCATTAAATCATCTTCTTCAATTTTAGATTCTAAAAAATACATTGAGAATGATATAAAGTTATGTATAGTTGTGAGATTTGTTAAGAAAATGCATAGACATAAGGTTTATTGGAAATTATGGAATATATAAAACATTATCAGAAGTCAATGATAAGGAGGAATGGATAAATCATTTTTTAGAGATGATATGGAGATCTATCAACAATAGAAGAGAAGTCATAATAAACAATGAAAATTATTGTCGGTCACCTGTCATATGGAAACAACAACAACATCAAGCCTTTATCCCACTAACATGGGGTCGGCTACATGAATCCTTTTTTCTCCATTGTGTCTTATTAAAGGTCAAATTCTCATTTAAATCTAATAAAGAAAGGTCATTCCTAATATTTTCTAAGCAAGTCTTTTTAGCTCTGCCTCTACCTTTCTTAACATAAGTCAAATCTAATATCTCTACTCTCCTAACCGGGTCATTGGAAGGCTGCCGTTTTATGTGACCAAATCTATAATCTTATCTTCTACTAGAGCTACTCCAACCTGTCATATGGAAAGAAGCACCAAAATCTTAAACTAGTTAAGGAAATCATATGAGTGGCTGAAGTGGTCATATGAGACTGTATAGAGGTAGGTAATCATATTCTTCATGTGAAAGAGAGACTAAATGGAAATGAGTTTCAGTAGAATTGATAAGAGCAGTGTTGGAGACATCCCGAGGTACTGGAGGATAGAAAATTTTTTCCTTCACAGATATCAGATGAGTGATTGTCCCTTTGATAATGCTAAAAAGTTAGAAAAGAGTTGTGATCGTGATCACAACCACAACCACAACCACGACCACCTCAGTCATAATTTCTTGAACTAATCACAGTTCCTTTAACAAGAGTATTCTTATCATGATATGAAGAAGGTGGAGCAGGTACCCCAAATACTCATGAAAGAACAGTGCATTTGAAATAGTAGAGTTGGCCATCAATTAAGCTTGAATATATTGTAGAGATGGATGAAGACCAGAGACGAATAACTTCTCTTTTTTTTTTTTAAACAAGTAATGGTGTCTATGGTAAATTGGCGATCTTGAATATGTTCATCCCATTTGCCTTTCAAATTGTACTACCATTGGATATATCTATGGATATACCATTTGCCTTATTAGTTTGCTTGAAGTTAAATGATCAAAAATTTATGATTAATAAATTTCATTATTTATTTGGATGTAGATATGAATATAATGAATTTTTTAACTTTAGAAACATCTTCAAAATCCCTCAATGATTACAATTTTTATTTTAATCGAAAACAAAAACTCATCTACAAAAACAACCAAAAGTGCCCTAAGTATTTATGATTGCATCTGTATGCTATCGTTTTAACTTACAATATACTAATACATCTTGTTTCTAACTCCAAATAGGTGACTTGTGGAAAGCAAGCTGGGGCCTTTACATGTTTGCTTGATGAAAATGGAAGGTATGGCCCAATTGATTCTTTATCGAAAGATCTACAGCCTGATTTTCAGGTCTCTTCTCTTTCTGAAGTGCAATCTTTACTGGATATAAATTTTGAGTTGCTGCCACATCCTCAAACCTCTTTATAGCTCGAGAAAATAAAATTTGCAATTTGATCTCAGTTAATCTTCCTGAGGGTAGATTCCGTTTATCTTTTACCATCTGCTGTAATGCTTTTAGTTGGCTGAAATGGTAGATTTCTAGCCGTTGGTAGAAGTGGAGAAAGCTCAGATGTCTGAATGGTGTGGTTATAGGGTGAATATTTTATGATTGTTTGAGTTGCAGAAACTTTGTAGAGGTGGATTCTGAAAGAAAATTATTTTCATTTGAAAGTACAAAGCTGTATGTCACAGGACAGAAATAATCAAATGTCGTATTGTGTTTCTTTTCATCTTTGAGTCATTCTACATCTCTCCAAATTTCTCTCTTATATTCTCTTCCCAGTTGAAGCTACTCTCATCCTTTTTAGATTTAAAATAAATCCTCTAAGAACTTCAACGGGAGGATTTGCTAATTGTGCACTGAGATAGTAATAGTTGAGGTTTGTTTGGAATAACTTTCTTACTGCTTTTTATAATGATTTTTTAGTTAAAAAATATCTTAAAAAGGTGAAAAGAAAGTAGTAACAAATTATCCCAAACAAAATCTGAATATGTTTGAAACAGTTTCTAAGTCCATCTGTTTGATTGAAGTTAGAAATTATGTTCTGAGAAATGATAGCTTAATATATTTCATCATTTGGTTTTTGCTATTAGAAATTAGTACTAATTTTAAGAGCTCAAAAAATTTTATGAAAAGGTCAGTCCCGTGTTGCTTTTCATTTAAATATAGCAGATTCAGGTTTCTTCATTTGTGGCGAATGCAACTTTTTAATGTAATAATTTTAATTTTTATATTTAAAAATTATTTTAAAAAGCTAAAAAAAACGGTCTTAAATAAGATCTAAATTGCATATAATTATAAAATAATTCTTTTAAACTTTATTGTTGTGTCTAGAAGAACTTAATTCCTCTTAATTCTAACATTTGTATAAGAAAAGGCTCGACAATTTTTTTTTTAAAAAAAGTCAGATATTCTGACATTATGTTTAGGGCTGCAAGCGAACCAAACCTTGGACAAGCTACTCGTTATTCGGTTCGATTAAAGCTCGTTTGCGATCGTTTAATTAACTAAACAAACAAACTTGAACAATATTTTAAATACTCGATTCTTAAATAAACAAACTTGAACACTAATGCGTTCGGCTCATTTATGTTCGCGAACAACATCATTTGAAGTTCGTGAACAAGCACGACATTAAGCTCGATAAGAAACTCTATTCGTGTTCGATTTTGAACTCGTGAATAAGCTCGATAAAAATAATTAATATTTGACTATAGAATTAATAAATATAAATAATCATTACCTTTGTTACATAAGCAATTGCTTTTATTATAAATGTGTTTGTTCATAGATATGTTCATGAACGTGTTTGTTTGATAGTTAAAAAAATTCGTTAAATATGTTCGTGAACAAGCTCGATAAACACTAAACGAACGAATATAAACTGAACATGAACCGAACATGAACACTCCTTAATGTAAACGAACAAAACATCAACACAAATGCTAAAGCTCGAACAAACATGAACAAGCTGATATTAAATGAACACAAACATGAACACTCACATACTCGGCTCGGCTCGGTTCGTTTGCATCCCTAATTATGTTGATGATTTTAAAATTATTAAATTTTTTAAGATAAGTGTTATACATTAAAAAATTAGTATTATATTGATCTTAAAGTAATTTAATAATGTTTAGACACATTTTGACTAAAAGTTGTATAATTAAATACCAAGAAAAAATTTTATCGTTATGTGCTCCTGAGAAAAAATGAACAGTATATTAGTAAGTGGCGCTTTCACTATAAGTGCTTTGATAAGTGCGTTGAAATTTTTTTACCATTAAATATGTTTTGAGATTATTGAACATATATTAAATTAATTAAATTTATATTTTACTTATTTTAAAGTAAAATAAATGATTATAAATTCATAATGCCGGATATATTTACCTAAAAAATTCTCTCAAAATAATAGCTATCATGTATGACTAATGATTATATTCTGTGGTCTAAATCTTCTTATTTTCCAGCATACTTATATTGATAATTTTTATATAAATTCAACTTAAAGTTTAATTTATTATTTATCATGAGTATTGAACAATTAAAACTCTATCGCCGCGTATATTCTAGTCCACAACAAATATAATACATTATTACTTTTTATTGTAATATATTTAAAATATAATATATTTAAAATGTTTAGAGTTCTTTTAATGAGTGTAAAATAAATATAGATATTATCTTTACATTTTGCTTTGAATTAGAATAAATACAGTGTAATGCTTGATGGTAGCAGCGATAAACAATGTTGAAAATGATACTTAATAGTAGCATCATAGCATGTGGGGATAATGATGGAGAATTTATAATATTTTTGAAAATTAGTCAAATTTAATAATTTTTAAATATGTCAAAATTAAATTAATTGGTGAATTTAAAATTCACAAATAAATTATATTGTTTTTGAAATTTATCTGACAAATATTTGAAATTAAGCCTTGTGTATTAAAGAAATCACCTCTTCCTAAGCTTGCACTTAGAATTGCTGGTTAATAATATGTTTGGAGTGAAATTAATTTTTTTTGAATATTTTAAATATTTTCTAAATAAAATTAGATAGCCACCGCTCAACTTTATCATATCTAATTATAAAAAATAACTTTTTACAGTCAAGAATATTAAATAATGAAAAAGTTGCCTACATATTTGCTACATATTCATTTTTTTATTTATTCTTAATTTACTCTGATGCAAATAGTAACTTTTTCCCCAAATAAATTTATATGTAAATCAAAGTTTTATTTTGATAATTTTCTCATTATTTTGTAAAATTACTACGAAAGAAAATAATTATTTAAAGTTATTGTAGAAAAGATTTTAGTATAAATTTTTTAAAAAATAATAAAATAATGATGATCAAATAAAAATTATAATAATAATATGTAAAACAAAAGAGTAAGACAATTATCCCCATGATGCCTAAGTTTTCACGAAAAAATGACTTTGTTCTATGTAAGATTTAAAATTATCCTTCTATTCCCCAAATTGAAAATTAATGGACATATTTGAACAAATTTCTTTTTTTTTTTAACCTAAACCTATAAATTTATTGTTAATCGTAAGAAAAATATTGATGCTATGCCTTCCCAATTTAGATAAAATCTGGCCCCAAAGCGGTCCGATAAACCTAATTGTCAGTATGGATTGATGATTAATCAGTTCACTTATATCCAGATATGTGGAGCGACACTCATTAACCAAATCTAGTCTCTTTTGTCTTCTCTTCCATCTTTTGTTTTCTTCTCATTGATCTTCCTCCTCGCTTCGGCTGTAGCGAACAAGCCGTCGATAGCGACATGAGCGCCGGAGAGTTGCTCGAAATCGATCCCCCCGAACTCAAATTTCCTTGTGAGTTTCCTTTTTCCCTCCAACTGTCAAATTTTATTTCTTCACTTGCATTTCTTTTACAGGATCTGTTGCCTTTCTGATGGAAATTTCCATATTTCTTTGTTTTTTTATGAGCAGTTGAATTAAGGAAACAAATCTCTTGCTCCCTTCAGCTATCCAACAAAACAGATGACCATATTGCGTTTAAGGTGATTACTTTAAACTTTCCCTATGTTGTCACAATCTATTTCCTGATATAGGCTACTTGATATGCCCTAAACAGTAGGGCGTTTGTTTTGTTTATTTGATTATTTTTCTTATATTGTCCGATTTTCTTTTTGTGAGGATGACTGTGTTTGTGTGTTAGGTTAAGACGACAAACCCTAAGAAGTATTGCGTGAGGCCTAACAATGGGATTGTTTTACCTCGATCCATCTGTGATGTTGTCGGTATGCCGATTATATATATTTTCTTACGTATATTTCTTTCTGCAGTAATAATAAGATTCTCAAGCTATTGTTTTGTTGGTGGTTTCAGTCACCATGCAAGCGCAGAGGGAAGCTCCAGTTGATATTCAATGCAAGGACAAGTTTCTTGTTCAGAGTGCTGTTATTGATCCAGGCACCTTGGCCAAGGACATTACTGCAGAAATGGTGATATTTTTCTCCAGAAATATTTGTTTTTTATTAAAGATAGTTCGAATCTTAGATTGCTACTATGATTTTTTTCTTGTAGTTTTCTCGTGAGTCAGGCGATAAGGTTGATGAGGTCAAATTGAGAGTTGTCTATGTTTCTCCTCCTCAACCACCATCACCTGTTCATGAGGGATCTGAGGAGGGTTCCTCGCCTAGGGCATCTGTTTCTGAAAATAGTAACGTGGACACATCTGAACCAGTTGTTGTGAGTGTTTTAAATGTGTAGTTTCTCATGCTAGGTCATTATTGTCCCCGGGATCTTATTCCATTATTGTGCTATTATTGCAGCAAGCAAGGGCACATGTTACAAATCAGGAAGAAAAATACCCAGAGGTGAGTATTTTTTAATGCTAGATTTAAAATAGTTAGGTGCTATTCATTCCAAGACCATGATTGTGCCTTGTTAATGTACGCAATTCTGACTTTCTGGCCTTTTCAATGGTATGCATCGATATAAATTATTGAAAACTTTGTTACCAGGTTATTATTGTTAGAATTATATAAAGATGAGGAAAAAATAAAAAGATGTATGGTGAGGAAAATAGAAAATGCTCTTTTTTTCATCTAATTTTGCTATATTTCTATCAAAGTATCTATATGTTTCTGCTTTTAAGGATGCCTCTATGAAATAAACAGCTGGTTATCTATTTCACGTTGCATGTGCCAATTTTGACCTAACAAATTTCACATAATAAATTCAAACTGATGATGTTATTGTTTGTCTAATTTAGAATCTTTTAAGATTTAATATCTTAGGTTGATATTGGGCTAGGAAATGGAATTTATTATTTTAGATACACATGCCGGGCAAAAATGTATGTTATTTTTTAAAATTTCTTTTAATTGGACACGCAGATGTCATGCTCTACATGTGTGCGGTGCATGTTAAGCAATGCACGTGTCCTACACATGTTTAATAATTCACAATTTCTTATTATGGAGTGTTGGTGCATCACAAGCTTAATTTTTTTGGGGCGACATTAAACTTTTTGGATTTTGAGGCTATGCTTGGCTACTTGAGGCTATTGATAAAATAACATCTTAAACTATGGAGTCATCACTTTATGGACGCGAAGCTGCACATAAAATCACTGATAATGGTGCTCTTCTAAGGGTTTCAATTCAGGTTAATATATCATTTTTGGGTTCAAGTCAAAACATGGCCATATTTGAATTGATTTGACTTGAATCTATCTCATTTATTAATTGGTTGAAAATTCAATCCAAACTTATCTCAGTAAGAACCAAACTTGACTTGATGTGAGGAGCACCGAGTCAACTCGACACAAATTGTACATAACGATATGATTTGCACTCGTAAACTAAAAATTAACAAATAAATGTTATTAAATATGAGTGTTTAACTAAAAAATACTTAAAAAAAGAATCCACTCATTAAATGGTTTAAAATGGTTTTTAAGTTCATGCTTTCCTGATCCTAATATTGTTTGACCCAAACTTTCAAAAAATACTTAATGCCATCGAATTCGCTTTAAGTTGTTTGCAAAATGGAATTTATTATTTAAGATACACATGTCGGGCAAGCATGTATATTATTTTTTTAAATTTCTTTTAATTGGACATGCAAATGCCGTGATCTACATGTGTGGGGCACATATTTAGCAAATGCATGTGTCGTGCATATCTATACTACTATATAAAAATGGATTGTGATTCCACTCTTAGCAAATCTTGATCGTTAATTTATAAATTTTAAAATAATCTGTAGCTTTCATTTATGACTCTTCAAATTCTTTATTTAAAACGTTCATAACTTTTCACATAACTTCTACTTACAAAATATTTATTCACTCATTTAAAAAAAATTAATTTCACATATCAGAGCTAGCGTTTCTAACATGAATGTGGTTTGGGTTCTTCTCATATAAAATCTTAGCCATATATTTATAAACTTAAATCAATCTGCAACGTTCATTTTAAAACCTTCATATTCGTTGCTTTTAAGTTCCAATAACTTAGCGTTTAAATTCCATTAAATAAATGGGAGCTCTCACTACCAAGACACTACAAAAAAAAATTAACACATGCTCTTCAATTTTTCAATTAAACCAGCGGTTTGACAGCCGAACGGTCAGTTCCTCTACCAAGCAATTTCATTTTTGCGAGCGTTTCACACAGTAATGGTTTTTTAATAATAATAAAAAACTAGCCAAATGCAGCCACTTCTGCTATTAACCCTCTTGTCGATTATTCCCCCTAATCTCCCTCTCTCTCCATGTCTCTATTATATTCCTCCCGGCTACGCATCCAGCCTTCCGTCCTCGCCAAAACTCCTATCGCTCATGTAAGAACCCACCATCACATGAGGTCGTTGTCGGCCTGCCATCCAACCTGGAAAAATGTTAAAAATCTGTCTCATTTATCCTTCTTATTTTTTGGAATGAATGTGTCTTTTTCTCAAATCAAGTAAAAAACATGAAATAGCACAAGTCAGAGAGAAATGGACCTCGGCGAAGGCAGCAAAGGCAGAGGCAAGTGAGGAATTTAAGAAGAGTGTAGAGAGATTAAAAGAAGCGTTACTTTCACCGGTGGAGGGAGTCCGCCAGAGGGCTTGGAGGTCATCGTCTTCATCATCTTCGTTGGCAGACCGATAAGAACAGAATAACCTCTCTTGCTCTTCTTCCGCTGAAGAGTAGCATTGTATGAGTACCAAGCTCATTGCTTTTCTACCACCGGAGGTCATCGTCTTCATCTTCATCATCTTCATTTGTACTCGATATTGTCTCTTGTTACGATTTTTTTCTCCTACTCTGTTTCGATCTATTCTGTTTTTTGGTCCAGCTGTGGCTTTTGCTTTATCATAAGTCGGCATGACTGCCTTCATTGACAATCTCAGCTTGCAAACTTTACTGCTCTTTGGCATAACATTACAAAAGCTTTTAGATCTCATTCTTGTTTTTTTTTTTTTTTTTTAATTTATTTAAAAAAAACAAAAAAGCTATTACATGCTGCTATTACCTACCTCCTCCACTAAGGAACAAAGCCTTTAAAGGATAGATCTGGAACTTGCTAATTACTACCACGCTTTTACATGATGTATTTGCTCGCATCTAACCATAAAATCCAATTGCAGTTTCTCTGCTTAACAAAATCCTGTATTAATTTGTTTGAAAGACTTCTTTTAGTTTCTTACTCAAATCAATGTCCTTTCTTTTCTTTAAGGAAATGCAATCAGTGGTTGTTTGGTAGCAGGATTTTAGTAGGAGTTGAGCAAGATTTACCATAAATCCTACTAAACAATAAATATGCTACTTATATTCAATTTGGTCATGGGTCCTTATTTTTAATTCATGCTTAAATATATGGTTTTATATTGTCACGAGCTATCTAGATCTAATCCAGACTCTACTCAATTCAAATTTAATTCGAGTTAAACTTGATTCATTAGTCAGCTTATGAACTACGATCCAGACTCTATTCAGGCTAATAGCGGTCTGATTAATTAGTTCTCTTTTAATTTCAAAGTTAAATCCATGGTCATTTTCTGTCCATGAATTCTTGTATGTAAAAATGATAATTAGAAAATTCATTTGAGTTTTTAAGTTGAAAAAAAGGAACTCTGAAAGTGAACCTAAGAGGTACAAGACTAGATTGGTGGTTGGGTGCTACACTTAGGCTTTTGTTTGGGACGGATTTTTTACTATTTCTTAAAGCGACTTTCTTGTATAAAATTTTTAATTTTTGTACTAAAAAGCCATTTTAAGAAGCAGTAAAAAAGCCGTCCCAAACGAAGCCTTAGAAGAAATATGTGGATTGCAATGATATTTTCTTTCTTGTGATCAATTATACATCAATACAAACATGGATTAATCTAATGACTTTTTTTTCAGTTAGGAATTGTAGCACCTTGATGTAAAAGAGCATTCTTCTATAGTGAGTTAGAATAAATAATCTTCGTGCATCAAATAGGGGGAGTTTCATTGCTCCAAATTTATTTGTGATATAAAGTAGTTTTCTTGTCAAATATACAAGTTTTTTTTCACATTCATGTAGAGTTTGAGTTTCAAGTGAAGATATTATTATAATAATTTTTATTTCAAAATATTACAAGATGGAATCTTATATACTTGCTAATGTATATAGATGTATGATGGTATCCTACAAAGACATTTAAAAAATATAAGCTCAAACATGTGTTAAAGTCTAAATTTTATATGAAAGATCTTAATGATATGTGTGCGAGTAAAAGAGTAGATCAAAGATTTTATAATGCTCCTACTATGTCACGAGTAGCAACAATATAGATTGAAGGAAAAATTACAAATTTCATTGAACGTTATATTATATTGACTTCACATTCTGGGTCATATCTAAAGATCAAGCATTATTTTTAAAATCGTCAATGCCGGTCCTAAGCCCGAATGAAAAAAATTGAAGGTAATTCATGTTCCAACTCTTCTTCTCTTATTAGCTTTTACCATCGTAAATTCAATCAACTCCTTTTATTTGTCTATTATTTTGTTCCATTATTTCTAGATATTTGATTGGTTTTAAATTTCTTCTAATTTACAATTCATGTCAATTGCATTACTCTTTATTTTTGTAAGTTCTACTTTACTCTTTTAATAGATATTATATTGATCACAAAATGATCAATCAATTAGGACCCCTTGCATTGCACATTAATACACTTTTTTACTTTTCATTTAACTTCTAAGAATTGTATATGAAGAATAATATAAGTTTATATGCCTAATTATTATATATAAATTATATGTAAATATATAAATATTGCATGTAATATTATAAAAACTTAATTAATTTTTAAATTTTATAATATAATTCTCAAAATCAATGTGGATTCATGCCGGGTAGGTTGACTATGGAAGCCATACATTTATTAAGAGGTTTGATAGAGAAATATAGAGAAAATAAGGAGGATCTACATATCATATTTATTGATTTAAAAAAAACATATGATAAAGTTCCAAGAGAAATGCTATGGAGAGTTATTGACAAGAAAGGAGTTAATAATGCTTATATTCAAATCATTAAAGATATGTATGAAGGTGCGATTACTTGTGTTCAAACACAAGGTGGTTTGACCAAGTATTTCCCTATTTCGGTTGTGTTACATCAAGGATCAGCCTTAAGCCCATATCTTTTTGCTTTAGTCATGGATGTTCTCATTAGACATTTGCAAGAGGATGTACCTTGGTGTATGCTTTTTGCTAATGATATTCTTCTTGTTGATAAGACTAGAGAGGGAGTTGAAAGTAAACTTGAATTATGGAGGTAAACATTAGAGACTAAAGGTTTTCGCTTGAGTAGATCTAAAACGAAATATATGAAGTGTAATTTTAGTAGTAATAGACATAGTGAGAGGATTGTGACTTTGGGCGATCAAGTCATTAATAAGAGTACACGTTTTAGATATCTTGGATCTATTGTTCAGAGTGATGGTGAAATAGATGGGGATATTATCAGCAGAATTCAAGTTGGATGGTTGAAGTGGAGGAATGCATCGGGCTTGTTGTGTGATAGAAAAGTACCCTTCAAACTTAAGGGAAAATTCTATAAGATGGTAGTGAGGCCTGCAATGCTTTATGGTGCTGAATGTTGGCCATTAAAAGAGAAGCATAATATTAAGTTAAGTGTGGCAGAGATGAGGATGCTCAGGTGGATGAGTGGCTTTACCCTTAGAGATAGGATATGAAATGAGCATATACGTGAAAAGGTTGGAGTAGCTCTAGTAGAAGATAAGATTAGAGAGAGTCGCCTTAGATGGTTTGGTCACATAAAACGGGGTCCTTCCAATGACCCGGTTGGGAGAGTAGAGGTATTAGATTTGACTTATGTTAAGAAAGGTAGAGGCAGACCTAAAAAGAACTGGTTAGAAAATATTAGGAATGACATTTCTTTATTAGATTTAAACGAGAATTTGACCTTTAATAGGACACAATGGAGAAAAAGGAAGCTGACCCCACGTAGTGGGATAAAGGCTTGATGTTGTTGTTGTATAATATAATTTTTAATTTTTTAAAATGTTATTTACGTGCATTTTATTAGTATTTAATAATTCACACTTTTTTATTACTGAGTGTTAGCACATCACAAGCTTAATTGTTTTGAGATGGCATTGAACTTTTGAGGTTTGGAGGCTATGCTTGGCCACTTGAGGTTATCGAGCAAATGCATGTCGTGCATGTTTGGAAGCTTCTTAAATTACGGATTCAACGCTCTATGAATGAGAGGTCACGCGTAAAATCATCGATAAAGACCCTCTTCTAAGGGTTTCAATTTAGGTTAATATATCATATTTCAATTCAACTCAAAATATGGCCTTATTTGAATTTAGTCAACTCGAACATATATTGTTTATTAATGGCTTGGAAATTTCAACCTAAACTTAACTCGGCTAGAACTAGCTTGACTCGATGTGACAAGCACTTGAGTCAACTTGACATGAATTGTACATTATGATATGATTTGTACCCATCAACTAAAAAGTAACAAATAAACACTATTAAATAAGAGTGTTTGATTAAAAATACTTGAAAAGAAGAATCCACTCATTAATGGTTAGTTCGTGCTTTCATGATCCTAGTATTGGCTGTCTCAAACTCTAAAAAAAAACACTTAATGCCATCAAATTATTTTTAAGTTGGTTGCATTTGATGCATAACATAGGAGATTCTAAATGTCGTTGACTTATGCACATGAAAGTTTTTTTGTCCTTATGGAGCACTTAATCTCATGTATGGAGGCTCAAGCAACTAAATCAAAGATAGAGAGTCAAGCCTTCTCTAGTATAATCTCCAAAAAAGTGTTTCAGTGTGACATAGTAGGGCTACTACTTAGGGAATCCAATGACGACTATTCCTTCAATGATAGGATGAATGGTGTTTTCTCCATCAAGTGCCCTCAACATCCAATGTGACTAATCCATAGAAAATAAGAAAAAAACTTTCCTAATGGACTCGCCTGAAATCTTTGGATTGTAAGTTCATTGGTTTATGTGAATTGAAAAAGAGCACTTTTGGGTGGTAGATGACGTAGTTGATAAAGATTTATTTAGTGGTTCAACCCTCATTGAGGACTTCATATTCTTGGTTTGTTGTTTCTTATTGGTATAAGTCTTTATAACTAATAATCTCTCTTGATCATTGGAAAGAACTCTCAATTAATGCTATTTTTATTTTCATTAGAAAATATCATGATTGGAAAATGGTCTTTGAAAAGCATTGAATTATAGAATGTACATTTTATCATGTTATATGTCTTCTTATTTGAGGATGCTCACCAATTATTTTCTTTGTTTCAATAATATACAAGAATTATCTCTTCCAACATATTAGAGCATTAAATGTTAGCTTTTTCCCCTATTTTGATTGATACCTTCTCAATCTCATAAGCCACTCTCATTTGGCTTCACATCGTGCCAATTCCCCATGTTGTTTGCCCACTTGCTTGCTTGTTTGCTATTCGTGCTTATTCAGTTCACTACTCGTATGCATCTTTGCTCCCAATTGTGCACTAACTCACATGCTCCATGCTCACCATACAACCTTGAACACCTTGAGCTTAAATACCTCATGACTCGCACAAATTTTATGCACTGATGGAACTCTTGATAGTACATGAATTTTGAGGAATGAGCTTAGTTTTATATTTTTGATGTGTATGATTATTAGTTGTTTCCACATGACTGAATTATATTGATAGAGTATCAGTAGCTCTGGTAGTTTAATTAGAGGTTAAAATAGACAATTGTTCCAAATTTGATCTTTGGGTGTGACAGGGATGGCAGTGAAGAAGACAACAACGTGGTATGACAATTTTGTGTGCATAGGAGAGGAGGTATAGGTCGTGGGTGTAGATAACTGATGTTAGAGAAGTCACAACAAGGAGAAGATGTGAGGGATAGAAGCGGGCTGGGAGCAGCATTGAGCGGCAGTGCCTGCATATGATGTGTGTGGTAGAGAAAATTACTAGTATGCGTGAGATTTGTATAGGCTATTGGTAGAAAGTATTTTATAATGATTTAATTTTTTAAATAATAGTAATATTATTAGTATTAATTGTAAAATTATATTAATTTGATAAAAAAGAGTTATTTGTGAGTATTGACTCTCTTTAGCGCATTTTCATCATTTGTTTGAAATCTATGCCGTTGGCTCGCACCTGGGTGAATTTTATGTTTCAACTTCGTGCAATCACCCGTGCAATATCAATGTCATTTATGAGTAATTTTTATATTTCAGACGCAGTGATATGGTTTGTTTTAGAAAGATGATGTTCTAACAATTTTGTGCAATGTTGCACTTGTAGTTTGTTGTTTTCGATTGTGTTTGTTTTTACCAAACACTAGGGGTCATTTCTTGGTAATTTCAATTCTGAATGCCCTTATTTAATCCTTTTCGTGAACAATTGACGTTCAAATAATTTCGTACAAAGTTGCATTTATAAATCGCCATTTTCGTCATTGTTTGTTTGACCCGAGCTTGGAGGGTGTTCCTTTATTAATTTTGGTTCTCTAAATGCTCCACGCAGTTCGTTTTGTGAGCATGCGATGTTTGGGTGGTTTCTATCACTGTTGAGACTGAGAATTTATTTGGCATGATATTGCATCAATTCACTGTCGTTCTCATTGCTCAAATTGATCGTGGAATACATGTGGAAGTTAACAATAATTTATGTCTTAGATTCATCTCTCTTCTCAATTGGTTTTAGAACTTCTCGCCTGATCTTAATGAGATGAACCCCTTTGCCACTAAAGTTATAACTAATAAATTTAATGGTATCAAGTTTCTTGTACGGTCTAGTATTATTTGCTTCTTTTTTTATTTTCATGACAAATTTCATTGTCTTGATGACCCTCCTTAATATAGATTAAACACCATCGAGTTTATAAATGACTAGTTTTTGACTATGCCGTTCTCACTAGGTTACAAAATAGCATTAGCTGGAAAGCTTTTGTATATGCTGATTAATCAATTTGTGTTTGATGTTCAAGTAAACCACATCAGTAGTTGTTCCTCTTTTTTCTCTGCATTTCTTCATGAATTTGTGTGTTAAAATATATTTTAATATGCATTTCAAACATTTATCACATATATATATATATATATATTCTGATGGAATTTGGCGACTAATATATATGTACAAAGACATTTGAATCTATTTTTTTTGTGATTGCGAGTATTGTTAATTATTTCTTTAATTCAAAGGTACACGTGACATATGTTTTATCTTCTCAGTAACTTATTTCATTGACTTTCTAGGCAAAGACTCTACTTTCAAAATGGAATGAAGAGAAGAGTACTTCCATCCAACACAGTTTAACGGAGGAGAAGAACACTGCCATCCAACAGGGCAATAAACTTCGAGAAGAGATTGTAAGTATCACAATTTGAAGACATTGCATCGGATTATTTCTTTTACACAATTATATTCTAAAAGTGTAATGCTTTAACCACCATAAAATTCTAGAGAAAGTTAAAATAAAAGAAAAAAGGAACACATTTACATAGTGTATTGGAATACATGATTTTTCTTGTTTCTAATATGTTGACTTGTTGAATTTCTGGCTGGGTAAAATATTGGTAATACTAAATTTGTTATTGTGATAGCTTTAATTAGTTTTACCGCTTCTAAAGTGACAAAATTGAACAATGGGGAAGTTCTTAGACATTAGGATAACTAAGGCTTTGTTTGAGACAACTTACTATTTTTTAAAACAACTCTTTAGTACAAATATTTTTTGAAAGCAGTGAAAAAGTGATGGTCAAAAGCTATCCCAAATGAAGCCTAAAAGTAAGGACAATGTATAAATCGTGGATGTGGAATCTTTTATGATTATAGTCCCGCGGCTATTCTTTTGTGACCATTTTATTCATGTTGTATCATATTTCTCTAATTTAATATCTTTATTATAATAGAAAATTGATCTCAAAAGGTTCCTTATATAGAAGTTGATTGAAATTGGGATACAATTCGATCCCAATTTAGTCTCTTGAATATACAAAATTAGTCCTAATTATGTCTTTGAGGGACCATTTGGAATCACTTTTGTATGGTTGAGTGATTAAATGGGAAAGATGTGATGCCTTGAGACTAAATTGAACACTTACGAATATTTAGGGGATTATTTTGGGCTTTTTCCACTTAATCAATATTACTTGAAGATCAAGTGATGCTTTTGCTTGGTAGATTAGGTTTATCGGGTCTAGTAGACAAGTAAATGGGAATCCATATATGAACACCTTTTATAGTTGAAGCTAGATTGTTAATATGAGAAAGTCCCTTATAATTACTGCAATAAAAGAATAATAAGCCATCTTGGTGAGAAAATTACAAAATTACAATCTCAACCAATATGCTATGTTGATATGAGTCTTGGGCAATAAAGAGGTTATTATAAAAAATGATTCATTTTGGCGTATAAAAAAAAAGAGGTTATTATCATCCAAAGTGTCATGAAATGAGAATGTTATGATGGATGCATGCATACAATTCAAAAAATATATTGGGAGTGACAATGAGGTATTCCTAATAAATATGGTTGTGAAAAATAAGCTTTGGTAATTTTTGAACATTTATAATAAATGATGGAAAAAATACATGTATAATGAATGATGGAAAATGAGCCAATAAGGTGCTTAAATGTGACAGTAAAATTAGAAGAAAAAGTTGCAAGTCAATGATGACGTGTTTTAAATTTTGCAAGAAATGAATTAAATAAAATTATGAAGTCCACTCCATAAGAATAAATAGGGCTTTGGAAAACGAATCACAACTAATTTATATAAGGCTTGATGTGCCTCTAAATAAGATGGCTCGGAATTAATTTCTATAATTTTAATGTGGATGTTAAGAGGATGTTCTGGGAGAGGCAAGGTGACAAAAAAGTCTTATTCCTTTTTTGTTTCGCCTCACTAATCTTGAAGGATGTTCTGGAAGAGACAAGGAAATGAAATACAAGAACCTACAGTTGAGCACTCAGATTGGCAGACCATTCTCATGATCACTGCCTCAACTTAAATAAACTATTGGCAGGAGTCGTGTTTCAAAATATATACATCACGGAAGTGAAAAGAAAAAATGATCCAATTTACGCATCCTATTACTATGGGAAATAGGCAAATCGATATTTCCTTCTGATTTATGCAACCTGTAACAACTTACCCAAGCACTTTTGTGTATGGCCTTTTCTAACGGCTCCCAACCTCAAGTGCCAATGTAAACCCCTGCATACGGAGATGAGGGTGCAAGCAAAAGCACCTGATCCGGATTCTTCATGGAGGGTTGCATATGGTCTGTAGGGGTTGTATCCTTGAAGAGAAGGAAAAGGGAAAAAATTGACTTAAATGGCTTTACATAGCCAATACTAACCCTATGACGTGTATAATTGGATATAGTGATACGAATAAGACATGACACGAACACGGGACACATCAATTATTGAAAATATATGACACGGACATGAGTTGGACACGGTATTATAGTTTTTATATTTTAAAAATAGTATATAAAAATTAAATAAGTATAATTTTAAAAATAATTTAGAAATAATAAGTCATTTAACTAGAATTTGTTCTTAAAATGATTAATATTAGGATGTCGAGAGTCGGACATCGATGTTGTTTATCATTCATTGAGAGAGGAGATGAAACTACCTTCACTGCCAAAGAGAAATGTAAATGTGAATATTCGATGAATGGGATATTAAGTGCGGGCGATTGATATGGTGTTGTGGATATGAAATAAGAAATTTAGTTTTTATATTTTAAATAAGTAAAAATTTTAAATACAAGAAATTATATTAAAAAAAATCATAAAATATTTAAGATATACATGTCGAACGTGTGCCCAATTTGTATTTAATATTTTTTTAATCAGACACGTTTTGGAGGAGTGTCGGACGCGTATCGTATCGGATATGTGTCGGACACTGCATGACTCTTTGAGGAGAAGTGTCGGTGCATCATAGTAACTAACCCTATTCATAATTCAACTGATGGTGAGGGTGGCTAAGATGGTCTAGTATATATATTCCTCCAACATGCTGTACGACATTTGATTAACTAAAGCACCATTTAAATCTTCAGTCTTTTCTAACACGACTGATTTTTAACTGGTGTTTTCTTTATTAGCTTCAACGCTATTAGGGATGTATAAGGACATGTCAAAACAATGTTACTTTAGTTACTATGAGTATTTAATTATCTTTTCAACCATCTTTGGCATGCTGCCCTTCAATACAATTTTATCCTTAAGATTTTTAGTTATATCAGAAGGAAAGTATGATAATAAATGCGGCTATCTAACACTTAAAGTTTATAACTTTTTCACAACTCTCCTGCATAATTTCACATTGGATTATCAAAGATGCCCATTATAAGGATTGTCTTATAATTATTTTCTAATATCTTGTTTTCTGATCTAAAATATTTAGTAATGATACATCCCTGTAAAATTCTGAATTCAATTACTTTGGGTTGTCCGAACATGACACCAAAATATGTGCTTCCAGAATTTCATGCTGGGTTAAGATGAAGTGATTTTACTTGCAGATCTTGATCATTGGATCTTGTTACCAAATGTCATTTTGATTCACCCAAAAAAGAATCTACAAAGATAGCTATGTCCCCTTCCGTGCCATCAACAAATGAAGAATAAACAAAAGGAAAATCAATACAAGTTGAGCGAAACTGTAGTCTCAAATAAAATTTTAAAAATGTTAAAACAATTAGGAGTCCCTTCATGTTTGAGCTTTAAATAGGTTAGAAGATGAGGAAGAGGCAAACAAATCACTTCCCGTGGAATCATGTCGAGCCATCTCTATGATGTCAAATGCTTTTCAAAAAGCTCCTCTTGAAATTCGCAACTAGAGTCGAGTAGCAATGACTTCAACAAAAGTAATGCATGGAGGAGAATTTGAAGATCTATCTTAGTGTAAGTGGGGCATTTTGAAGAAGCAATATTTGAGTCCCGTCTAATGGTATTGTAGATAGATAACATATTGAAGGAAGATTAATGCTTCCCTAATGAGAATGATTCAGTGCTTGTTGATATGGCCTTGCAAATGTACCGCATGAGGTTGGGTGGAGACTTTGAATCTTTAGTAGAATATTTTGAGACAATGAAAGTTGTTTTTGAAGTAATTGCTTGGACGCATGCTATTAGTGTTTGACAAGAGAAATAAGGATCAAATAACTCTATTAAGGATATTGAGCATCCGATTCTCTTAACAAGTTGGTCTATAAGTAGGTTTCCAAGGAGGTTTAAAAAGAAGTCTTAATAGAGAAGGGGGCCTCTAAAAATGCTGTAACCAATTCCAATCCTGAATTTATCCGATTCTATTGATAAGGTTCATTCCAATACACGGTGAAATCCTTCTTTAGGTGGTTCAGGTATTTTCCCTATGCTATACCTTATTAACTTAGGGCAAGGGAGCCCTCCTTCTAGATATTGCTGTGATTGTTTTGACCACTCTCGGTAAACATCTGAAACAATTTGTTTCATGATTCCTATTGTCACGGCTGGAGTTTATCCAATAATGATTGCAGATCCAGTGTCTGATGAGGAGGCAAGCCATTGACTATAGGGTTGGATTAATTCTGACCTAAAAGATGCAACATACTTTGTTTACTATAGGCGAGATAGAGGTAAAAGTGAACGCAGAATTTGTTTAATATGAGCGAGGTAGAGGAAAAAGTAAGAAGTGACTAAAATGAAAAGTCTATCCTAAAAATTCCAATGAGGAACTCCTCCATTTAACCTTAGATTTGGTTATTTTGTGATTTTGTTAGGAATACTGTGCGTTACCACATGACTCATTTTTTGGTGCTTTTTTGCACGTCAGGGTAAGGGTTATTGTACTGGTTGTGGTAGTTTCTGTAGCTTTAGACCATATCTCTTATTTAGTATACAATGAGCAATTTGGTTTTATCATTAGTTGCAATAAGTTTCACAGTGAAGTTTCCTGCTGCTTATTTATCTGCTTGATGGATGTTCTCTTATGGTCTGTCTCTGTTGAATTTCTGTATGGTCGTTATTTTTCTGTTCTTATTGGCTTGTTGAGGAGCAAATTCTCTATAGTGCATCATTGACTTATATCTTTATATCTCTTTTATCTTTAATAAGTTATAATATTTATTGTTAAGAAAACTTTCACAACACAACTAATTTGAATGTAGTCATTATTCCATCATGCATATTTCTAGTGATTCTAACATTCCTTTTAATAATTCTCCCATTTCAATTCATGTAGCATTGATCTTGTCTTTTGAAAGATTAATAAAATAAAGTTCATTTCATTGCTCTTTATGCCTTTTTTTATTTATCTTGGAGCAAAATTGCCTCCATTGTAGATATTTCTCATATAAATCAAATTATTATTTTTATATCACCTCGCCCACAATTTTTTTATGTGATCAATCATTTAACATTTCCTTTGTTCCAAAAGCCTATTACTAAAATTATACTTTTTGAACAATTTGACCTCAGTCTTCAGAATTTTATTAAAAAAAACTTTAGAAATAAAATCAATGTAATTCCCTCATAAGTTTCCAATTCTCTTTGGATTTTCCTGTAATACTAAAGCTCTACATGATGTACTCCAGAAACAAGGTAAAATTTCATATTTCTGCATTTCAGATAACTTTCATATAAACTCAGTCATTGGATTAAAATTTAATGGCTGAAATGTAAAAGAATGATTAATATATATTCCAACATGATCGACTATAGCTTTATTTATGTTTGGCTTGCTAAAAAAAATAAGCGTTATATATTTACTCAAGTTAGGTTACGCTCATTTAACTATTGAATCGAGCGTAAGCTTCTTAGCTATCTGATAATTTTTTGAAATCAATGAACTACGTTGCACTCAGACTCTATTGGTAAGCGCAACCTGTATCCTTCGTCTCTAACATGTGTTGTTGTTCAGGAACTTCTTAAGGTGGATTTGAACAAAAAGAAAAACACTGGAAGCTTCTCATTCATGTTTGTTTTGATCATCGCCTTGCTTGGAGTGCTAGTGGGTTATCTTGTCAAAGCATGATAATAGCTTCTCGTGAGTACTTAGTGGCATTTTGAAGGCTCTGATCCAAACCTATCTTATTTTATCTCTAATTATTTTAGTTTTAGTGGTTTGATTGATCTAAACTGAAATCTTAATATAAAAATAGTCTATTGTGGCATCCATTAGTTTATCAATAATTATTTTGAACTGCTGAAGAGGAGAATAGGATTTCTGCTGGTTGTAATCAGCTTGGTTTTCTGCTTTTAATTCCATCCATTTATGCTAATAATGACTCACCAGGTTTTACTTCTATTTTCTGCTTATGGCCTTTAATCTTTTGCTAATTATTTTGAACTAAGGAATTCTTGTACATGGCAAAACATCCATGTCTCTGGCGGTACCTTTATTTAAATTTTTTTGGGTGCATTTTATCAGTAGGACTCTTGGTCCCAAGCATGTGTATGAAATGAAATGTAAATTAACTCAATATGTTTGAAGTAAATAATATTATTTAGTTGGTTGTAAAGTAAATCGACCCACATAATGGGATAAAAACGTGTTGTTGTTGTTGGTTGTTGTAAAGTAATTGAAGATCATTTTTGGTGTTTTGATGGAATAGTGAAAACTGTGTATGGATAGGTGGGGATTACTGATGCGGGGAGAGAGTTGGTGCGGGCGGTAGAGTTGGTGGTGACTTTGAAAGGGGTGAGTTTGAGATCATGAAGACAGACGATTAAGTTGTGGGATTGAAATAATGCTGTCAGTGATTTTGGGGATGAACATCTATAGCTTTGGCGGGGAATGAGATTTCTGGATGGGATGTGAGTGATGTATTTTGAATTTTTTAGAATTGTTTGAATACATTGTATATTGATTATTCAAAAAATGTACATTTAAAAGATAATACACCACTAGTATTTGTAACACAACCACTAATTAGATGGAACCCTTAGGGAATATCATGTAGATCTTGTTAACAACCCTAGCTAGTAGCACTATGCTTAGCCCATGTGACTAGGAGCCACTCGCTGCACCAACAATTTTTTGTAGAGTTGATTAAAGCAACACCGTTCATTACTTGTGCTGCTCCAACAGTTTGATGCATACCCATTCAACATACATATAAGTACATTCAACATACATATAAATATATTGTACTGTGCATTTAATGTATAAATGAGAAATACCACAGAGAGCATCTTTATTCTTCACTGTTTCTTCCTGTTATGTTTTTCCTATATTGATCTTTAATACATGTGTTACAGCCGATCTTTACTTGGTGTCAGAGCTCTGTCTTTCAGCCCCACAGTTTTTCTTCTCCATGGAATTCGGAAACTCCTCTGCTGCCAGTACCTGCTCTGATGTTCCTCTTGTCGGTTATGCTCCCATTCCTCCCCAACTCTAGTTCTTAATGTCCACCATAAAAAATCTATGGCATTGTTCGTCGACCCTACCGTCAGATCACAACTAAAATGGGTGAAGTCATCCCCAACCCTTCTTTACATGGATGTTTTTAGATTAGAATCTAGCAGCTGCATTGTTCTGTCTACCATTTCCCCCTTGCTCCCCTATATCCTCAATCTTGATTCTTGTGCTGAAATTTAGCAAACCCTTGGCAAGCAGCTCCAATCTACCAACCGCTCGCGCATTATTCGGCTAAAAAATGAGCTCCACCATATCTCTATGCATAATAATACTATGCGGCAGTATCTAACTGAGATAAAGCTGGAGGTGGACACGATCAATGCAGCTGGCTATTCGTTGGATCCATAAGACATTATCTTTTATACTTTGAATGGGCTTCCTGCTTCATATCAATCCTTCAAAACAGCCATTCGAACCAATCTCCAACCTTTTTCTCTAGATGATTCCTATTCACTATTGTGCAGTGAAGAGACCAATATTGTAAATGAGGCAACCCGTGAACTTCAATCTGTACAACTATAAGATTCTGTTGTTGCCCTCATTGCATCTCGTGGTTGAGGTGGTAGTCGCCCATCCTTTGGTCGTCACAATAGAGGTCGCACTTCCTCTCAGTTCCATCCTTTCGGTCGGCAGAATTCTTCCCCCATTTGAGGTGGTCGCTCCCCTTCTGCATCAATAAAATGTCAAATTTGTGGAAAACCAGGTTACTTTGCCATTAAATGTTGGCACCGCACCAACCTTAATTATATCAGCAACTCATCGTTAGCCTTGGCCGAATCCACAGATTCCTAGTCTTAGTCCATTGATTGGATATTGGACACCGGTGCAACGTCTCATCTCACAAATGATTCAAAGCATCTCAGCTCACCGCAACCTTATCATGGATCACAGCAAATTCAAGTCGGCAACGGACAATCTCTTCCAATTTCAACTACTCATCACGGCCTTTTACCCACCCCTCGTCGTAAGCTTGTCTCTATCTCCTCTTCTTCATTTACCTAATGTTTCTTGTAATCTTCTTTCCGTAATGCACTGTTTCCTTTGATTCTCATGGATATCATATTAAGGATTAGAAGATAAATCACTTGATCCTTTTGGGTCCATGTCATGATGGACTTTATCCCCTCACCTTGCTACCATCCACTACCTGAGCTCCCATTCTTGTTGTTGTGATGTCTCCACTCCATCTCCATCCAATATTTGGCATTGTGTCTCAGTCATCCACACGAAGCTGTTATGCCTACCATTTGTCTAGCTCGCACCATCTCTACGTTTTTCGATTTTTGCTAGTATTTGTCATTCTTGTCAAGTTGCAAAAGGTCATAGATTGTTTTTCTCTAGTTCTACTACACAACGTATATCTCCATTTGAACTTGTTGTCTTTGATGTATGGGGTCCATCAGTTTACTCTATTAATGGATATCGTTATTATGTGTTATTTTTGGATGAATTTTCTCGATTTTCTTGGATATATCCAATGGTTCACAAATCTGAATCAGTTTCCAAAATTTTATTATTTAAAGCAATGGTTGAAAAACAATTCTCCAAATCTATTAAAATTTTTTGCTCAGATGATGGAGGTGAGTATGCTAGCACTCCCTTCAAAATTTCATGTTTAAAGCTAACATTATTCATCAATTCAGTTGTCCTTACTCCCCTCAACAAAATGGCCTAGCTGACTTAAACACCTCCATTTTATCGAAACTGCCTGCACTCTCCTGCTTCAAGCTAATCTTCCCTTTTCATTTTGGCTAGATGCGTTTCTCACAACCACTTATAAGACAAAAAAGTCGACTATCCTCATGCACTACAAAATACGTTTCTCACCATATTTTTTTCATTTAAAGGTTTTTGATTGTCTTTGTTACCCGTGACTTCAATTTTCTGCTTCCCACAAATTCTATCTAAAATCCGCCTGTTGTGTCTTTCTCGTATACATCTCTACACATAAAGGTTATCGCTGTTATCACCTTCATTTACAGAAAATCCTCGTATCTCGTCATGTTCGCTTTCAGGAGGATATCTTTCCTTTCACCTCTTTCACTATCTCACATATCTCAGAAAACACCACTAATATTCTCACTCATCCACTTACTGTTGTTCCTTATCCATCATTTCCTAGTCCATCCATTATTTCACCTCCACCAATACAACCTTCTCCTACTCCTATTTAACCACCACATCAATCTCCAACTCCATTTCCCCCTACCCGCCTAGTGGAGCCTAATTCTAGCCCTTCCCCACTCGCTCCACCCTCTACTCCTCCTGTCGCAACTAACTCCTCTCCACCTCATTGACTACGTCCAATGGTAGCTCGAAAACAAACAGGATCTTAAAACCAAAGCAAATTTTAAATCCACAACATCAGATCTCTCTTGCTGCTGACCCGACTTGTTATACTGCTGCGGTTAAACGTAATTGTGAAGTTATGCTATGTCTAGTGAGTTTCAAGCACTCTAATTGCAGGGTATCTGGAGTCTTGTTCCACCTACCCCAATCTCTTGTGGGTGGCTTTTAACAAAACCAGCCAGTAGCACTGTGCCTAGCCCATGTGACTAGGAGCCACTCGCTGCACTAGCAGTTTTCTGCAGAGCTGATTAAATAAACACCGTTCATTACATGTGCTGCTCCAAGAGATTGATGCATACTCGTTCAGCATACATATAAATATATTGTACAGTGCATTTAATATATAAATGAGAAATACCACATAGAGCTTCTTCTTTATTCTTCACTATACCTTCCTGTTCTATTTTTATGTATTGATCTTTAATACATGTATTACGAGTGATCTTTACCGATCTAATATGCATTCATAATGCTAAACTAAGGTTCAGTTAGCCACAATGGTGATAAGTTTAAATATTTTTTGATCTACCTTGTACATCTAATGCTCATCAAATCACAAAATTTTGATTGGAATGTACAGTGTCATATGAGTTTCAAGTTTTGGATTTTAGTTTATGCTATCAAGCATGAAATATCTTTTCTGTTATGGTTTTTTTTGGAGGCGATTCCGTTTCTTTCCCTTCCATCACTTTTGTTGGCGCACACACACACTGACCATTTCTATTGAGCATCTCTATCTCAAATTGGCCAAAGGCCTTATGATTATCCTCTTGAGTTATAATGGACGATTCAGTGTTTCCTGTTTACCCTCTTCTTCTTCTATATCTGCTTGGAAAATCGTAGACAAATAGCCACCAATCTTCAAGCTTTTATTTAATTAGAAGGGCCTTTCAACATCTTAAGAGCCTAACTCCTCTAGCTTCTCTCTAAACTATATTCCTTGTCAAATATGTGAAGGTTTCATTCTTGATGTGAGGATAACTGATTGTAAGAACTTGGTTAGAGACCACAAGATTGATCTCTTATGCTTCAATGAGATTAAGCTCTTCACTTCCAATATGAACAGCTTCTCAGGTAGACTATTCAAATTCTCAGTTGTTGTTACACACCCCTGTTCATCCCTGCTGACCTCCTCTTCTATGAAATTCTTGGTTGCCTTTGTTCATGCTAAAAATGGTGCATTGGAAAGGAAAATCTTGTGGAACCTTATTATGAAAACATTATTTCATCTATATTGTTAATCATGGTTGATTATGGGAGGTTTCATTTGTATTACATTCTGTTGATTATGCTATGCTACCTCTATTTTACTACCTTGGATGAAACCTATTTCATCTAATTTTTGTTGATCAATTGTAAAATGTTACTTTGAGCCATACTTTTTGTGGTTCTTTGTGGTGAGCATTATAATTGTTTCATTTTTTTCTTTTCTCTATTCTCTTGTGTCACATGTTTGCTTTTAATTATTATAATCTTATTTGATGAATGATATTGGTTGGGCATGTCCATCAACTCCTAAGAGAAACTATTATGTGCGGAGTTTTAACAGTTAGAATTGTCCGAATTTATTGCGTATTTGTAAATAATCAGTAAATACTCGGCAAATATTTAGTTGTGAGTATAATTGAGTATCATGTGAGTATTTGTTGGATATTTTGTGAATATTCGTTGAGTATTTTGTGAGTGTTTGTTAATTTACTGCATATTTATTGAGTGTTTATCGAATTTTTTTATAAAAATACTCAGCAATTCGGACAATTCTTACTGTCTAGACTCCGCACAAAATAATTTCTTAACTTCCCCACAAGCAATAAGTTACAACATAATATGAGATTTTTTTTTTTTAAATTTAAATATTATATGGTATAAATTTTTTTTACAGATATTGAGCAAATTTAATTGTAAGCTCATTTTCTCGAATTTATGACCAATTCAGTGGCAGCCAAAGCTCCCAACTACTATAAATATATTATTATATGACCTAGGTTTAAATTTTAAAAATATAATTATTTGTTAATATTGAGTTAACTTATTATTATTTAAATTTCAACGAGAATGATAATTTTAAATGAAAAATTATAATTATTTTATAAAATGTCTATTATGGTATATATGGTGTTATTTTCAAATTTGAATATTACACAAAATTTTAATATAAATTATAATTATTTTATTAAATATTTAACTTTCAATATTATCTTTTAATTTTACATTTGAATTCAATAAGTTTTATTTTATTTAAATATTTAATTATTAATTCATGTGTGTTAACATTTTGTAGTGGTAAATTACATTGTTTATAATTTAATATATTTTCTTAATTATTTTTCATTATTTCAACTCAAGTTGAGATTTTTAATTTTATTTCTATTATTTGTAAACTCTATGAGATGAGAGGATGAAAGTGAATGAAAAATAAAAGAAATAACAAATTATTGCACTCTCAAAATGGGACCTCTCATCTCTCCCAAAAACAAGATCATCTTTTTTTCTTTCTATGAGATTTTTTTTTAATCTTTTTTTCTTTCTATGAGATTTTTTTTTTTAATCTTTTTTTCTTTCTATGAGATTTTCTAGCTTCTCTCTCATTTTAGGGCTCATAAAATTTATTAAGTGCTTTTAAAAATAAATCCTAAAATAGGTTGAGAGAAAAAATACAGGTATATCATATAGAATGATGTGCAAATCATATAATACGAAAAATAAAAAATTGATTAATATCATTAAAATTGAGTTATGATCGACTGTACTGACATGCCTGAAGACCTAATTTGGAAGAAAAATCATTTTTTTTCTTCTAAATATCTACTAGTCATTAATAAAATTCATATACAAAATAATGCAACAAAATAATCATTTCACTTCATTTAATATCCAAACAGATATACATATATATTTAATTCATATCCTGAAAAGAATTATATATAATATTTATTAATACAATTTAGGGGTTTTTACATACATAACTTAAAACTACTCTATCTACTTATCTAATATCCAAACTTCACTATTTACTATTCTACCATCTAAAAGCTATTTCCCTCATCAAAACTACCACTCCGTAACATCCTCCCGTCACATATATCACCCTGACCTGCTTCGCCTTCATCGTCTTTTCTGGTCGACGAATTCAACCACCCGCTTCATTCTCGTGTTCGTTTCCGACATGCTTGCCAGTTAGCTTGGAAGTTGATCAGTTCTTTATCTTCTTGCTACTTGGGTTTTCTCCATGAAAATAACGTTAGTGATTTTTTTCTACATGAGCTATGGGCTGAATTGTGCATTCACGAGCCAGTTTTCATACGATTAGGGTTCATTTGATTGCTTGTTGATTAAATTGATGGTTTTGTTTTCACCTCGTTTTCATTTGGTTACTTGTTGATTAAATTGAGAAATTAATTGATGAACTGCTCATCTTATTCTTCTGCAGATGATTGGAGATGGCTTTTGGATGTTTATGGATATGGATAGAGTGGAAGGTACCTTGGGAGAATTATTAAGGCGCGGTGATGACCAATGATAATTATGAAGAATCGTGTCCTCCTTTTAACTGAGCATGGAATTATCCTTCCTTTATGCAACATCAGTGATTTTGATTGGAATTGTTAGAGAAAATGAGATTAAATCAAACAAACAAATCCCCATAATTTGCAAACTGAGAAACCAAGGGATGCTTGAGCTTATAAGTAGGGGGACCTGCCAAACGGGTAAACAAAGATGTTTTCGAAGGGGAAACGAAAAAAGGCACCTTCACAGCGTGGTAAATGTTCTTATTTTTCTTCTTCGATACCTTTTTCTCTTAGTTCAGCTTGATATGGTTGTTGTCGCTAGAGTTCGCAATGACAGCTTGGAGGAATGTCCGGTCGTCGATTGGGGAATTCAGATGGTGGTATCGACAGTGATGACGAGGTTGAAGGAGGTGGACGGGAATTAGAGATGGCACGATGACATTCCGAAGAAGAATGAGGCGGACGGGTGAATTCCTCGACCAGAAGAGGTGACAAGAGGTTAGGGAGTGTTATTTTTAATGAAGGCAAAGTGTTTTAGATGGTAGAGTAGTAAATAGTAAAGTTTGGGTGTTAAATAAGTAAATAGAATAGTTTAAAGTGTTATGTATGTAAAAATCCCTACAATTTATCATATCAGTCTATCCCTTAAACATTCATGACTATAAAAGAATGAAAACATTAAACAAAATTATTTATATTAGCAACTTTGGATCAACCTTGCTCCACTGGGTCCTTACCCTTTCTTGAAAATCACGTAAACCACATAATGAGCACAAAGCATAGTATGTTATCTGAACATATTAGTGCGCCAACACATGCATGTAATTATGCAGATCATTAGTATGAACATTGACAATCTATGTAAATAGTAACATATCAATATGAACAATAATGATCCATGTGAAAATCATGTAATGTATCAGTAATCCTTGAATCAATCCTATTCCAATGAATGTTATAAGAAAGACTATCCTATGAATTTAGTGCAATCATATATATATTCTATTAGTTGTCAATACATGTATGCCATTTCTATGCTTTGCCATGAACACTTTTGTGTCTATCATATAACCTCATTTATCAATGTTGTTATTACTATGTATGTTATGTAATGTTGGTACAGATATATCATGTGATATATATATATATATATATATATATCACGTATCAATATCATATAGCATATTTATTGTGTGTTAGTAACATGTATCATATATTAATGTCATATATCATCTATCATGCAGTATGTATCATGTTTCTCTATCATGTGTATCATGTATTTTATAACTATATCAATCTCGGCATATATCTAATTCACGTATCATATATAGTATACAAATTATGCATGTCATGTTTAATCTTATGGAATCATGTAATATGCATATAATATCATATTGTTACAAGGCTTGACATTCGATTAATCATATAATGTTTTTATGTATCTTTTCATATCATATCATATCACTTCACAGTCATTACCATAGTCAGTTAGCTTTTTATAAGAGTTGTCACTCTTGCTCATTTGTATATATTGCTCTCTTATGACTCGCATCTTATATCTTATATCTTGCATTGGGATTACACCAAGAACCAATTATTTAAAGAAAAGCATGCAAGCTTATCCTCTTGTATAGGGTATCTTGCTATATCTAACCTGAATCATGCATTCCATCAATTCTTTCATTTATACATGCATGCCAAACTATTTGTTCACTAATTATAATAACATGCCTCATGTATCATGTATGTATCTAGTGCAATTAACATATAGATCATTTTAGTTCTATGTTATTAGTATGCATTTCTTGTCATTGTGCTCATGTTAGTATGCATGTCATGTCTTATAGACTCTATCAGATGCATGTCTTACTAGATATGATAGAACATATGCAATAATTCTAATTTATTTTCTTTGTCTTTATTTTTATTATTTTAGTTAAAATGCTAAAAATGCAAAATTACTTGGTGAAATTTCAATATGATCATGTTAGAATATGCAGAATAAGATTATGTGCGATA